CGTTCTCCTTGACCATATTGGCATCCGAGAATGCGCGTTGTCTCTTATGACACTGTGCTACTAGGAATGTGAAAGGTCTAGAGCAGCGCTCCGGTGCCATAAGGGATCGCCCGTATTTACCGTTTTCGCAAATTGGCCGGATAAAATCGAACAGCTGGAAAATCATACGTGTACTCTCCCGGCCGCCGTTGCTCGGCGAGCAGTCCGGAGAAGGGAAAATTGATTCCGATCGTAACAATTTGTGCGGTAATCGTTTTAATAGCGTAAATTAAAGGTGTAGAAAGTATCGGCTCCGATAGATCGCAATCCGCGAACACTGGTTTCAAGCGATCACGTACGTGTTCTTTGGAATTACGCTGTTTCACGTTTTTTTTTGCGACTCTGGGTATCGCGTGTTATTCACTCGGAAGAATTACGAACGCAAAAACCTGAAATAGAGAGGTAGGAAAGAACTGTGCCACCGATCGATCCATATTTTTGTCGTTCGGCCTGGAAAAACCGAAACGAATTACGCCCGTTTTTCCACGACGATCGATATCGTTTCGTTATATCAGATAAAGGTACACCCGTTCCTCAATTTGCGCGACGCTTTCTTTACCCGAGACACCTTTTTACCCCGCAAATTATAGGACAAAGTTAGCTAATACGAGATCGTAGTTTATTTCCGTTATAGTCGTCCCGAGTGTCGCGTCGACACTTCTTTGTAACCATATCCGTAAAGTAGTCCCATAAAATGTTTCAATTTCCGTGCCCCCGGATTAAAAACGTATAGAAAAAGAAAAGTTTTATATAAATTGTAAATAGTATATAAATTGATGATTTATATCTTTTTTTTGTTCGTTAAAATGTAGTAAATATTTCTTCAGTTGATGCTGCAACGGTCCTGACAAGTTTCGGTAGTATTATACTACTGTGATCAAAAAGTAAGGTGAAATTGTCATTTAAAACTCCCGGACATTAGGAAGGCAGGCAATTGTTTTTTTCCTAGGTTGGTAGGACTGTCTGTTTGTCAAAAGGTTTAATTATCTCCGAGTTACACGTGTTTTTGTAAACAACCAAAAGTGAATTTTTCGATTTTTACAATGGGTGATTTTGTTGAGCAAAGAACTTGCATCAAATTTTGTTTGCGGAACGAATATTCTTGTGCGGACACGTTGAAAATGTTGCGGAAGGTCTTTGGTGATCAAACTATGGCACAAAAAAACGTTTATAAGTGGTACAACGAGTTCAAAGCGAGCCGAGAACGCGTTGAAGACGAACCGCGCTCTGGACGACCATCAACGTCTACCGACGAGGGCCACGTCCAAAAAAATCGAAGATTTGGTGCTTGAAAATCGTCGACTGACAATGAGAGACCTCGCTGATAGTGTTGGAATATCATTTGGTTCAGCCCAAACCATTTTGAAGGATGTTTTGTGTCTCAAACGCGTCAAGTCTCGATTGGTGCCATGTCATACTGCATTGGTTCTTCGCGACTTTTTTGCCAAAAACTCGACTCATATCGTTCCGCAACCACCGTATTCGCCTGATTTGGCTCCGTGCGACTTCTG